CTAATGAAACTCTTTCTGGATGACCTGCTGCGCAAGAATCTGTCTCATCCCAGCATCCATCACACAGATGCTACTTGTGCTACAGGTGAATGTTAACTGCAAACCCATGCTGAATTGCCATCTGTATAAACATCTCTATTATTCATGTCTGTTCTTGTGTATGTGTGGGGAATTCAGGAATCCAGAGGCCCCTCAAAGGAATATTACCAATTTAAGCGTCTGGTGGCGCTAGTGGTCAAACCCTACTTATGGAACTGCAGATAGAGGTCTGCATTCCCGCGGCTCTCCCTATAATTTGAACGGGAGCGGGCCATCTAACAATATTCTGTTCCCGACGTCCTTTCAGAACAACATATCTGTCCTTTATTCTTACTGACCACCGGTACAGCCTGCACTCAGTACTGTTATGCACGCGTTGCACGCATGAACCAGAGCTTTCCGAGTCACGCATTTTATTTGCGAGGTCTGTGCGCAGCATGTGAATAACGATGCTCAGACTCAGAGCAGGCTGTAGCCTACCGGTGGTAAATATACGGTCCTCAGACAGAACAGGCAGGTTGTCGATGAGTGACAGAGCAGAATAAGGATGGAGCAAAGTGTGGCTGCGCTGTCCTTGAAGGACCTTCAACTCGGTTTTGTTCGGTATTTCTCGGTATTTTGCTTAGCCTACCATTTAAAATGACAGATGTCGTAGCCTATTTATTTATTTTTTCTCTGCGACACTTTTCCTACTGTGTACAGCAAAATGTTAAACGAATTTAGTATTTTGACAAGACGAATAAAAATAGCTAGGCTATTTCTGTACAACCTACTTTTTTTTTCTTTCTCTGTGACACTTTTTCCTATTGTTTTAAATGTTAAACGAATTGTATCCTGACAAGACGAATAAAAATAAGAAATAACATTTTTGTACAACATTTTTATTTTCTCTGTGACACTTTTTTCCCTACTGTATTGGCAGCAGTTGCTGTCAATAACTTCAAGACTCTTGACAAGACGAATTATATCAATACAATTTTGTGCAGACTACATTTTATTTGTTAGCCTAGCTCTCTTTCTTTCAGTAGCGGAAATTTAAGTGTGAGATTCTGGAAACGATATCTAAATTTAGCGGGAACGGTCGGGTCAGGAAGAAAATAATTCTAAGCTGACAGCGGGCGAACAAAGAGTGAATAGCGGTAGCGGGTGGGTGCGGAATAGAACCTTGCGGAAGCGGGCGGGAGGGACTAAAAAAACAGTCCCGTGCAGACCTCTAACTGCAGACTATATAGACAGTTACAGTACAGACAGGTATAGAACTCCATATATCCTGAGATAAGGATTAGTCATTACATCTCTGAAGGCTCTCTGCTGTCACCTGTAGTAGAACTAGCTGCTCACTGTTACTAGTACTGTATGTACTGTGATGGACGACAGCTGCGAAACTGTAGATCCAGGGCTCGCAAAATTTCAAAATCCCTGGTAGCCCTTCAGGCAGGCACTCTTCAGATTTTGGTAGCCTGAAATTTAACTAGCCTTCTGTTTTTCATATACAGAAAATTGAATAGGAGTCAAAATGTCAATCAAAACATTTTAAAAACACAAATATCAAGGAAGGAATTGTATTTCACTATTTACAGAGTAGGCTATCTGCGGGATTTTTAAAAATCAATTTAAGGCTTTTTATGACCCTTTTTAAGACCTGCACAAATAAAATGAACACTGTATGAGCGGGGTAGGGCAATATATATGATAACAAACTGTAAAATTACATGATTTACAGTTCAGATACAGGTTTTCACAAAAACCAAAAAATCTTGATAAACATAATTTTTCAGCCTTTAAACCATTTTTAAGAAAAGGGATGAGACAAACATAAAATTATATTAATTTAAAGCATATAAATATATATCATATTTGTCTTAATTGTTTAGATTTTTAGAAGGCACATTAGCTTATTTCACATTTACAACTCTGTGTGTTTGCTGCGTAAAGACATGGGTCGATATTTACATTGATCTGAAGAAGAAAAAAACGCAGGAGGGCTTACTGAAAATGTGATTTTTTTCTGTCACTAGGTGGGGCATTTGAAACCAAGTAGGGATAACTGCAGGCTGGAGCAGTGGGCCTGCCGAAAGGTAGGGGGCGTGTATAAAGGTCTTTCTAATTAGGGTTTATTTGGTTTAGGGGTTAGTTTCTGTTGTAGCATCAAAGTCCCTTTATAGTCTTTGGTAGCATTCACCTTTTGACATGCCACCTTTTGCCACACCCATTACTCCGACCTGTAGCTACCCGTCTCTTTGAAATGGTAGAAATAGAGCCATTTCCCCGGTAACGCCTCTACACACAGCAGCGCTGCGCTCATAAATGCTGCTTTATCCAGCATTACAAGTAAGATGAAATGAAAATACCATCGAAAATTTTCTGAAGATAGTCGGTTCCCTTCAGAGACGCATTCACATAAAAACACCACTAAATTGAAGACTTGCATTTAAGATAGCCCATCGGGCAGGGCGGTGATACATTTTGGTAGCCCGACTGGAAAACACAACAGCCCTGGGACATCCGGGCTAGCAATTTTGCGAGCCCTGAGATCTGACTAAAACACACCTCTGAAGTCTGCCATGTTATGAAAGCGTCTGTGAGAACTTAAGAGTGCGCAGGAAAGACAGAAACTATGTGAATTCAACAATAATTTATAAAGACAAATATCAACTCATTTGGGCACTGTATATTGTGATGAAATAAAGAACATTATATGAAAAAAAAAAAAAGGATTGTCAGATTTCCAGTGTCAATACAATTATCAGATTAACTTGCATATATTAGTCCATCTGATTAAAGAAAAGGTACTCATAGTTATGTTGTCAACATTTTTCAATGAAGCAAGTAGAACATTCACACATGTAAGCAATATTGAGCAACATTAAGGTGACTGGAGAAAAAAACAAAAAACACCTTATGTCTTGTTTATATGCCACGCTTCTTACGTACTGCATCTTTCAGAAATTTAGAGCAGCTGACAACTTTCGAGACAAACATCTGCATTAAAGGTGTGATCACATTTACGGTTTGGCAAATTTTTTATGGGTAAAATCCAGTAATTTCTATACAAATCCAAGTGACTGGGAGCTTCGCAAGAGGGCAAAAGATTTCCCCAGGCAAGAGTTCAAACTGATTATGCAGATTCACTCCATTAACCAACAGAGAGTTGCCTGGTTTGAAAGGGACTTCTTTGTGAGCTACACTTCATGCATCGCTAACAGTTTTTCATTGACACTTCGCTAATGTAACCCCACCTTAAGACATTAAGTTGTTAAATGAACAATGCACAACATTCAATATAATCAAAGTAAACAGTGCTGCACTGTACTAATGATGCTTTAAATTATCAGGTCTTGTCAGATAAATGAAAATTAAGCACATTTTATGAACAAAAAAAAAAAAAAAGGAACAACTTTTTTCCTACTTTTGAGTTGGCAGAAAAGGCAGCAAAAATGAGTTGGATGTAGTACAATGAAAATAATTTGTGGAAGCTAACACTTAGCATAAGCAGCACCATTAAAATAATAGTTTTACACCCTTTAGCTTGGTTGACAGGACATTCAGTGAATTTCTGATACTAATACGTAGGTTTGTCCATTGATTGCACTGATTAAAATGCTTTTGAGAAACATTTGTATATAAAACGCTTCACAACAGACATGAGAGTTATGCAACTCTGTAAAAAAAAATATCATTACTAAGCCTGGTGTACCATAAAGAGTCTAAGGGTGTGTGTTCACACTTGTCATGTTTGGTTCGATTAAAACGAACCCTGGTGCGATTGCTCTGTTAGTGCGGTTCGTTTGAGTAAGTGTGAACGCTGCCATCCGAACCCTGGTGCGCACCAAACAAGCGGACAGAGACCGCTAAAAAAGATGGGTCTCGGTCCGCTTCCAAACGAACTCTGGTGCGGTTCGAATTAAATATGAATGCAACACGGACCAAACACTTCTAAACAAACCAAAAACAGGAAGTAATGACAAGATGCGATGCTATGTGACATGATTTAACGATGCGGAACGAGCGGTGTATCCAAAAGTTTGCAGGTGGTGAAAATAAAGTACACGCAGCAATGAGCGCGCTTAGTCCAGCAGACAGCATTATGTGTGTTCGACTTAAAGCGGCGCTGCGCATACCGATCGGTGAATGGGTACTTTGATGTCATACACCGATCGGTCTGCGCAGCGCCGCTTTAAGTCGAACACAGCTTTTGTTTGGGGTATTCGGTGAGTTCCGTCGCGAAATATACATCATTCAACACGACCAATCAGGTTGTGAACGTATCACTGTGCCTTTAGGTTCGGTATCTTTAAGCCTTGTACACACCGGGACGATTATCGCGTGCGCTTATCACCGACGTTTTTCGACGCGTCTTTTGTGTTCATACCCAAGCGATTTTCGCTGTCGATGAGCCGAGTGAACGTGCAAATTCACTCACTGACATTAGATGGCGTTTAATGAAAAACAGAAATATTCCGGTACACATCGAATCCTATATGATCTACAACTCCTCTCCATAACAACTCCCTCTTATCGAGATTTTTGTAGTCGCTGTCGCGTTCATCATAAAGCCCTTTGTGTGCAGACACCAATGAGACCAGCAGCTCTACATTCATCTTGCCTCGATACATCTTCTTGGTCTACTTACTTCCTCTTCGTCGTTAGGTATCAGTGTGTGTTCGGCAAGACCGTTTTGTGCTTGAGCGCCACCAAGTCGTGTTTTACTTTAACTTCAGCAGCTCCAGGCACGTGAACAAAAGCGGCAATCTCATTGGTCGGACGGTTTTTAACGAGGTGCGTCAAACCAAAAAAACGAGCCCGAGGCGTTTTAAAAAAAATGACGCTTTTACACCTTGCGTTTTGTGCGTCGGTGTGCACACTCACATTGGCGCCCTTTGTTTAGTCACGAGGCGTTAAACGTCGGCGATAATCGCACGCAATATTCGTCCCGGTGTGAACAAGCCTTTAGGTTGTATCGTTTTCTTTTTTGGTCCAGACCAAACGAACCAAGAGAACCGAACTACAAGTGTGAACGCACCCTAAGAAAGTCCAGGTTTTGCCACATCTTCCTTGTTTCAGCAAAGTGTCTATGAGAACTTAAGAGTACAAGAGCAATGTAGGAACTCAAAGTGAAGGTTCTGACCCCCGAGGTTGGACCCCTTCCCTCCTGAGGCTAGCATCAAATCGTGGTGTCACCTCGCAGCGCACCAACAGCACGTCGTCTTTCACAAACCCACGCTGCTGCAACGCCTGTAGGTGCAGGAAAGTAACGTAGCCAAAACCCTTGGGGTTGCGCAGGACAGTGGGCCTCTGGAAGGCCTGCAGGTCCGGCTTGGTCTCCATCACTTCCACATGATGCTGCCCCTCAACCTGGTCCAACACTGCCAGTCGGATCATGCCCTGCAAGGGCCAAGAGAGCTGGCTGTCAAACTCACCCTGCATAGTGTGCACAAAAAGTGAGATGTAGTTGGAACAGCGAGGGGCACTGGGAGTTTGCAGATGCAGTCGTAGGCAGAGTTTGTACCCCGGCCGGCCAGTGTAGAAAGGTGGGCTGTGGAGGACAATGGGTTGACCGGCCTCTTGGTTGCGCAGGTGAAGTGAGAAGTTCTCCAAACGCCATACGTAGACGCCTTGATACTGCTGGGCTTCCAGCTCTCGGGTGGCCTCCTCCAGTGAGCTCAGCTTTCGGCGTAGCTCTGTGCCCTGGTTTTTCTGTGTCTCATTGTGGATGCACAGCTCCCGGATCTGTTGATCTTGACGAACCAGCCGACCCTCCAGCTCCAAGACCGTCTCACGCAGATTCATCAGCTCCTGTCTACACTGGCAAGAATCTGGGGCTCGGGCAGTTGCTCCACGTTCGTCTGACGAAGAGTGGGCAGCAATTGATGGCACTGGGCAGCTACTGAGTGTCTGGCTGCGCAGGAACTCAGCCATGTAACGCATGTGCATCTGTGTAAATTCCTGCATGTGCTGGGCCAGTTCATTTCTTGGCATCTGTAACATTTCCAAATAAATAAAAAGGTTTGACAATTATATGCTATACACTACCACTCAAAAGTTAAGTATTAATATTTTTGCATTTATAATGTATATGTTTGTTGAAACTGATACATTTCTTTTCAGGATTCTTTGATAAACAGAACGTTCAAAAGAACAGCATACATGTTTTTGAGTGTTATGCAACAGGAATCTCATGGCCCACCTTTTCACGACAACCAAAAGTGCTGAAAGTACAGGCTACAGGAGCTTTAAGACAGTCTGTGTCACAGTGCAATGCCAACTGAAACCAACAAGAACAGATTCATTCAGCTTCATAGTTTCACAATGAATAATTTTAACTATTAAAAAGAGTTCATTACTGTTGTGCCTCAGGAAATGTGCATATTAGTGAAAAATCATCTGACGCACCTGATCCCGAATAAGCTCCATGTCGCAATATTCACACACTGTACTGGCGAAAGGACAAATCCGTTCATGAATCTAAACGAAAGAAGATAATCGTTTCAGACAGTGTTGTTATTGGTAACTAAAACTATTAAAATGTTAAAATAAACAAAACAAAAACAATGAAAACTTAAAAAATATAAACAGGAAACTAACTGAAATAAAATAAGTTTAAGTCACTATATTTAATAAAACTAATACAGAAATAGAAGTACAGTGCACTGCCCTCAATTAATATTGGCACCCTTGGTAAATATGAGCAAATGCGGCTGTTAAAATAAATCTGCATCATTTATCTTTTTGATCTTTCATTCAAAAAAATTCACAACATTCTAACCTTTCATTGAAGTAAAACAATTGGCAATGGGTGGAAACTCACATTATGAAATAACTGTTATAACTGCACCCCTAGAAATTCGTATAGAGTAAAATATGGCTGAAGTATATTCCCATACATATTTTAAAAAATGTTAGCACACCAGGATGACTAGGAGCATGGCTATAAGAAAATAGCTAAAGCATTGAAAATCCTCATTTCCACCATCAGGGCAATAATTAAGAAGTTCCAAAAAACTAAAGATGTTACAAATTTGCCTGGAAGAGGACGTGTGTCTATATCGACCTAATGCACGGCGAGGAGGAGAGTTTGAGTGGCCAGAGACTCTCCAAGGATCACAGCTGGAGAACTGCAGAGATTGGTTGAGTCTTGGGGTCAGAAAGCCTAAAAAATATATACAGTATATCAAACAGCCCCTACATCACCACATGTTGTTCGGGAGGGTTTCTAAAAAACTCCTCCTCGCTCTTTCAAAAACAAACTCCAGCATATTCAGTTGTCAGACACGACTGGAACGAAGCCTCTGCCATGGCCGTCCCAGTTCCCTGACCTGAACCCTATGGAAAATGAGTGGGGTGAGCTGAAGTTAAAGGGTTAGTTCAACCAAAAATGAAAATTAGCCTGTGTTTTACTCAACCTCAAAGCATCCTAGGTGTATGTGACTTTCTTCTTTCAGACGAATCCAGTCGGAGTTATATAAAAAATTGTCCTGGCCCCTCCAAGCCTTTCGATGGGGGTAAGCGGGTGTTGGTTGTCAACAGTTCAGAAAACGTGAAATAAAGTATCCGTAGTAAAATGTCCCTCACACGGCTCCGGGGGGTGAATAAAGGCCTCCTGTAGCGAATCCATGCATTTTTGTAAGATAAATATCCATATTTCAAATGAAATGACCACTTTTCTCTCACTTCCGCTGACTGTGGTACGCGGAAGTCGTTCTGGCGGATGACGTAGGACGTATGCGTCGTGCGCGTGCCTCTGAGAAATGCAGGAGCAAAGGAAACAAAGTTTCCTTACTTTAGCAAAGGAAAACCAGTCTTTATTCACTCCCCGGAGCCGTGTGAGGGACGTTTTATTACGGATGCGTGCGCTTTATTTCACGTCTTCTGAACTGTTGACAACCAACACCCGCTTACCCCCATTGAAAGGCTTGGAGGGGCCAGGACAATTTTTAATATAACTCCGATTGGATTCGTCTGAAAGAAGAAAGTCACATACACCTAGGATGCTTCGAGGGTGAGTAAAACACAGGCTAATTTTCATTTTTGGGTGAACTAACCCTTTAAGAAGCACCAACATGGAGCTGTGAATCTGCAGGATCTGGAGAGATTCTGTATGAAGGAATGGTCTCTGATCTCTTGTCAGGTGCTCTCCAAACTCATCAGGCATTATAGGAGAAAACACAGAGCTGTTATCTTGGGAAAAGGATGTTGCAATAATTGGGTGGCAATAATTGTGGCTAATGTAAAGTAGAGAAAAACATTTCAAAATGAGATTCCCCCCCCACTTTCGAAAAGTGAGATTTGTTTTCACAGCCACCTTTGCTCATATTTACCAAGGGTGCCAATATTAGTGGAGGGCACTGAACATAAAAGCTAAATATAAATATGAAAAATCAACAAATGACAAAAGCACATAAAATTACTATAACTAAAATTAAAATTAATGGAAAATACAAAAATAAAAGCTAATTGAATATTAATAAATTCTGTAATAAGACCTACTTTCAAAACCACTTCAACCTAAACATATCCAGTATGTAAACAGGAAACGATGGTTTTCACCTGTTTGTCAGCATACACAAAGCTCCCTGCACAGGCAGGGCAGGTCATAAGGCGCTGTAAACACTGCTGGCTCTTGTGTTCATCCAGATGGCTCTTACGAACAGACTCCAGACACTGAGGGCATGGCACTGTGGCAAACTTACACTGAGACAAGTGTTTCTGAGGAAAAGAGAATGTTACAACACAATTAAACAAGTAGCCACCATGACAACTGCGATTTAGCAAGCCTGTTCATGACACCACACTAATGGGTTTGAAATGGCATTTATGAAAGTTCTTGCTCTCTGAGGAGTTGATGCATCATATATCCAAGGACTGATTTAATTAACAAGATTTATAATGACTGAAATATATATCTTATATATACAGAACTGAACACAATTTCTATTTTTTAACCATATTTAAGGACATGGGGCTTATAAAAATGTTCTTAAAAAAAGTTAAGAATATTCTTACTTACAGGCTGCCTTTTTTTTGTGCTGCCATTATTATAAATTACCATAATACTAAGCATGCATGCAATTTTTGGTGTGACTGGCCTGACAGATTTTTTTATTTTTTATTTTTTGCAAGTACAAATATTTAAAATACAGCATTTAAAACACTTTTACCATGTCAGACCCACAAATTTACCTCCAGTTGGCGCAACTCCATTTTATCACAGCATCCTACATTAGGACATCGGACAGTAAGTGAGAGGATCTCTCGTTTGGCAAAGTTATCAGGGAAGAGCTGTTCCTCAAGCAGCACCTCATTGTCAACTGGACATTTTTGCCCTGTGTCCCTGCCAGAAAATATGAAGTTATATTTGACATTTTTAACTCTGTAAAGCCTGACATACAGTAATAGTCAAAAGTCAAGAAATAATAGTCTGCTTTTTTTTTTTTTTAAACAAATGGAGGAATTTATTGAAACTGTAGACAAAATATTATTTAAAAAAAAAAAAGAATAAAAAAAAAAACGATATATTTAAAAATTATATATAAAAATAAAAATACCCAAAAATATTATTTAAAAAAAAAGTAAAGAAAAGAAACTGCATGTGTTTTTGTTGTGTATCATATTTGATAAATCTGGCTTTTGTGACTACTTATAGTGAAAGTGAAAGTGACGTGACATGTGGCCAAGTATGGTGACCCATACTTGGAATTAGTGCTCTGCATTTAACCCATCCAAAGTGCACACACACAGCAGTGAACACACACGCACCGTGAACACACACCCGGAGCAGTGGGCCGCCATTTTTTGCTGCGGCGCCCGGGGAGCAGTTGGGGGTTCGGTGCCTTGCTCAAGGGCACCTCAGTCGTGGTATTGAAGGTGGGAGAGAGCGCTGTACATTCACTCCCCCCATCTACAATCCCTGCCGGTACGAGACTCGAACCCCGCAACCTTTGGGTTACAAGTCCGACTCTAAAACCATTAGGCCACGACTTCCCCCTTATAGTATGATATAGGACAATATGGAGCTCATATCTGAGGAGGAAAAAACAATTCAAACAATTTTACCTTAATTTGGTGCAGTTTGGTATTTATATAGCCAAATATTAAGATGATATTCTGATAGCTTGTGATGTAAATCAATGAGATCTTTCTAACATCACAACAGACTGCTAGTACTCTATACATCCCAATAACATATCTTAGTTAGATAATATTTAAATACTTAGTTTTATGATCTCTGTAGTTTCTTCAGTCCATGAAGTGTTCATCTTAAAATATTACTAAAGTTATTCTTATGTCTATTTAGTAAATTAGTAAAAATTTCAAAACAAAAGACACGTGTACTATAACCTGAAGGGGGGAATTATACTAAAAGGCCTTTTACTTGCTAGAAAACTATAAACTATCAATAAGATGACAGAAAGCATATATAAGATTGTATACAGCATTTTTTCAGAGAAGTTTTGATTATGTTGATAATTTAGCCTTAGAAGCGTACGTTTCGAATATGACAGAGCAGGGTTAAGCACAGGGTGAATTTTGAAAGTGACAAATACACTTAAAGTTACTAACCTGATGGACTTCTTGATGCATGAGTTGCAGAATCGATGTCCACATGGTGTCTGTACTGCGGAGCGAAGACCCATCAGACAGATAGGGCACTCATACTTGCTCTCTAGCGGAGGGTCAAACTCCACATCATAGCCTTGCTGGTCTGGGGGGATACTAGCAGAGACACTAATGGTGGAGGGGTTCTCTGTCGGGCTCAGATACGAATCCCTGTCTTTGTCCATGGCTGCTGCACAGCTGGGGTATTGGTCATTACAGCAGACATCATCGAGGCTGGACTTATCAGAGTCATTGTAAGCCATCTGTAATCACATCAAGAGAGTGTTATGTTGATGAGTGAAAATAACAGATAACCATCCATACAACACATATCGCAGCAACACCCCCCACCCCCCACCCCAAAAAAGGAAAAAGAAAAAACTTTATAAACTGACCTCTAGGTTTTCCAGATATGGACATAAGGATCCTTTCAACGTCTTAAACGCACAGAGGATGTGGCAAGGTATTATATATTAGGGTGATTTCCTCAATAATTATGCAAAGCGAAAAGGCATAGGATGAGTAACTCCAGGCCTATTGAAGTATTCATCTTTAAACTGCTGTTTCCTCACGCGCAGTTCTGCTGGGCGAGGCTGAATTGTGGGAAACACTTTTCGCTCATCAACTGGAAAGATACTTATTTGTTGCCAAAAATACCCACATTATACAGCGTACACGTAAACATATAAATTTCATAAGGTTAAACTTATCTTAAATGCAAATCTTAAACTTCTTTCATGGTTAAAGTGAAAAAGTTCAGAGGCAAATCAGCTAACGTTAACCAGTCACAACCGACTGTTACATCAGCAACTTTCCTGACATCGCCTATGGAAACACACTTTTTACCCTGACATTATAGTTGCAACACCACAAACATCTTGGTATATAATATATGATTCGATATCAGATCACCATTATTTGTAATAGGTTTAATTTACATACCTTGCCTCGGTCCGGCCTCGCTCTCTACTACAAGCTTCCTGTATCCAAACATCAGCGTCTTCTTCTTCTTCTTGTTTAATGGCGAATAACTCCTTAGGAACATTATCGCCACCTACTGTACTGGATGTCAAATTAAACACATAGGTGATGGGTCTGAAATTTACACACAAAAAAAAACAAAACAAAAAACTGTGTGGATGTTTCATACTCCCTCAATCAGTGCGCATGCTCATGCTAGCACTGCGAGTTCTGCTCCAGTAAACATTCACTATTAGCTCTTCATGCGCTCCACTCCGTGGAAGTTGTGGCCCTAATGGTTAGAGAGTCGGACTCGTAACCTAAAGGTTGTGGGTTCGAGTCTCGTACTGGCAGGGATTGTAAGTGGGGGGAGTGAATGTACAGCGCTCTCTCCCACCTTCAATACCTCGACTGAGGTGCCCTTGAGCAAGGCACTGAACCCCCAACTGCTCCCTGGGCGCTGCAGCAATAAAATGGCTGCCCACTGCTCCGGGTGTGTGTTCACTGTGTGTGTGTTCACTGCTGTGTGTGTGCACTTTGGATGGGATAAATGCAGAGCACTAATTCCAAGTATGGGTCACCATACTTGGCCACATGTCACGTCACTTTCACTTTCCAGATTAGGTAAAGTATTCCCATCCACACATATAGACCCAAAGCCTGAGTCATATATAAATTTAATTAGCGCTCTGTATACCTGTCTGTCCATTAATGCTTTTCCTAAAATATCCTCATTTTTCATTCTGTCCTCCCCATTCTTAAAGTGACTAAATAGGCTAATATATCTTGATATACACAATATTTACCATACAAAGCACATAAAATACATTTTCAGATACACCACACACATCGTAGGCCTATAACCAATTTTCAAGCAGCCCATAAGTGCCAGTGTTGATTTCAACCTTGTGTGTCCCAGTCTTAATCTAGATAGCCATACTTCTTTTCTATTTCTTCCCTGGCAATTTATCCTCCCTACTGTCTGTGTAATAGGCTACTACACATCTCCCTGTGCTACTATTATCCCATCTAATTTGCCATTTATTCATTAACTTCTTCTTTAAAATAGATTTTGCCTCCTTTTTTCCCATTGGTACTTTAACATCCACCTCCCTCTTGTCTAGTGCTTTTTTTTGCTAGTTTGTCAGCAACTTCATTACCAGATACCCCAATGTGTGCTGCACCCAACAAAAATACACCATTCCAGCCTCTTTCAGTCTGTATAAAGATCAATACACTTCCATTAATAAATCTTCTCTGTCTGATCTTGCATATATTATAGTAATTAAAGCTGAAGAAGAGTCTGAACATATTACTACTTTATTTGGTCTGACTTGTTCAACCTACTCTGTAATCCTATTATTATCTTTTAACTCTGCAGTGCACACTGATAAATCATCTGGCAATTTCAAACTAATTTGTGTTTTAAATTTTGGAATATATAAACCTATTTCAACCTTTTGACTGACAGGTTCCTTAGAACCAACTGTAAATATTTGTAAAGTTGAATAAAATTTATTATTTAAAATAGCATTAACCTAATTTCCAATGTATTCATCTTTGGGCTTGTCTAGTAAGCTCAAATCCACAAGCGGTTCAGGAACTCTCCATGGTGGGGCATCAATGAGCGGTTCGTTAGGACAGAGGATCTTACTGTCCATGCCATATTCCTTAGCCCATATTCTACTCTTCCATCCAAAACTATGTCCTCCATCATACAAATATTGCCAGCACTCCTCCAATACTTTGGGAGTAAGATGATTACTCACTCATTGTTGAAGATTCACCCAGTATGTCACTGCCCATTTTTCCCTTCTAAGTTAGAGGCATCTCTCCCATTTCTACCCCAATTGCATCTACAGGGAATGTTTTAACTGCTCCACAACATATTCTTAATGCTCTGGATTGTATGATATCTATTTTTTTTCAGTAAAGATTTGGTTGCTGACCCGTATAGACCAATTCAGAGTAGACGTCACAGTTACGTCACTTGCAGCTGCAGAAAAACACTGGGAACAAGTGGAGGTAAATGGGTAAAATCCATGGAATAAAAGAAAAAAATATTGTTGTGCCTTTTGATGTCAAGATCGGCATGCAAATAATTTTTATAGAATATAAGACTAGAGCACCCTCACTAATTTCAGAAGAACCCTTATTTCTGGAACCTCCTTGATACACTTTTGTTGTATAACTATATACAAAAACAACAAAATACAAATGCACTAAATAAAATAATTTAATAAATGCATATTTACAATTTAAGCACTTAACTAAAATAAGTATTAATAAAATAAATAACTAGAAAAGGCTGACTATATTCAGCTTGCTCCCATTTAGTGAGAAAATCATACTCTTCACCTGAATTAGAAAAAAAGCTCATCTGGTCTTCAGTGATGCGAGGACAACGTTTGAGCATACATGTAATATCTGTGTGAGAGCAGAGCCAATTCTTAACAGAACAATGCATATTTAAAAGCACACGTCCAGTTTTGTGTGAGTGAAGGAAATCTGCTTGCGAGTGGAGATTCATGCTCGCGCATTAGGCCTACATGGATCACGTCACATTGTGCGCTCTCGACATTGTCATTAAGATCGCGCTATAGAAGCTGCCTAAAATTAAGTATAAAGAGGAGAAGAAAGCGGTCCTAGGCAGCTGCGTATACATGCCAGGATCCGCCACTGCCAGATGCAGTTAGAAATGTACTAAAAACAAGCCTATCACAAGACATCTGGTAGGGGTTACACCAAAATTGGTGTAAGATTGTATTTTAATTTTGTATTTGAATCTTATTTTGAATTTCACAGGTCACTGGAAAATGATCACTTCCTAGGCTATATTATCTTTAGATACAGACATTTAATGATTCTGAAACTATTGTGATATCTAAACATGACATCCCACCTCTTATTATGTCTATTCTTGTTGGATTGCCATTTAGACACACTAAAGAGTTCTCTTCCATGAATTCTTCTATTACTTCTCCTTTTTTTTCTGTGTTCCTGCTACCCCAAATACTATTGTGAGCATTAAAATTACCACAAATAATCATTTTTTTGTGAAAATTCTCCCATGGCACTTTTCAGGATATCTAGGCTACTGATAATTCTGAACATGGATTATAAAAATGTAATAACCTGATTACCCCCTGTATACCCATTACTTCTATACATGCTCTCTGCATTATTTTCATTATTTACATATCTGTATATCACATTCTCCACCTCTAACAAATAATCCTGTCTTGCCTTATTACCTCATATCCATTCAGCTTAAAATCCAATGACTTGCATAGCCATGTTTCTTGATTTATTCATATCTGCAATATATTTTTTAACTCCTGTCCATTAGCGATCAGGCTTCTGGCATTCCAGTGAAGCAACAGGAAAGACATGATATAATGTTATAATATCACTACATTGCATCATAGCTTGCTGTTATATTTCCTTCTGTTTTTCCTTCTTTAGATTTTAATATCTTGTGAATATGATATACTAATGCAGTTCAAGTATTTGTTTGCACATTCTACCACAATTTTTTTGTCAGACCTTCTTTCCTCGTGCAGTGCCATTCACCACTGCACAGATAAACGCCACTCATGTCTGTTGGGTCATTCTTTAACAAGTTCTGTTTCATTGAGAGGTTTGCACCTGTTCATTTTGGATTCTTGTTTCTGCTACAAGTTTAACTCTGCGAACTGCTTCTGCATATGTTAAATTCTGGATGGACTTTACCTTCTGGATTTCATGAGTCTGCTGTTGTACTGGACATCCTGCATATGCAGCGCTGTGTTCTTCCTCACACTTACCGTATTCATGCTCTCCTCCACTTTTTGCACATCGCTTTTTCCCTTTGCAAAGAGCAGCAGTATGTCCCATGCGCTGACATTTATAACAACTGATGAATCCTAGCTTCACATTTACTGGTAAATTGTTGTATTCAAAGTGTATCAACACAGAGAGACTAATACACTTTTTATTATTTGTCCGTGCATCAATCTTTTGACCGAAGCCACTTTGCCTCCAATCAAGTTTCCTTTTATTTCCTCCATCAGTACTTCTGGAATAACCATTTTGAGAATATCAACTGGAAATTGATTTGGACTTATAATAACAAATTATGTGTCACAACAATTTTTCTGGATTGATGTTGAATAATTATTTACTATGTTGAGTGGATCTAAAATTAATATAAGAAAAAGAGATGTTATATTTTATTTTGATAAAAAAGATATGGATAAGAGTCACATTTTTTATGCTAAATCTTCTAATATTATTAGGGAAGTTTTACATAGCCTACACAAATGTAAATGGTCAGAAAGGAAGCCCAATATCTCCCACTTCAAAGTTGATTTGAGGATTTATTTTGAAACTCTTCAAGGTCCTTCAAATCGGAAAGCAACCAGAACTATGGACACGCATAAAGAACTAAACTCCTCTTTTCTATTGTGATGATTGATGTATAACCTCATTGTTATTTTTATTTGTATTTTTACATTTTTTTTTGTTTTGTTTTTTTCTTCCAGCAAATGTTTGTAACATTTTGTTATACTTTTGAATGTTAATTGTTCAGCATATACAATTAATAAAAAAGTGAAAAAAAAGAAAAAAAAAGAAAAGAAAAAAAAGAAAAAGAAAAGAATATCTGACCCCGGACCGGCTCTCACAACCGAATCCTCGCGAGATTCGCCGAGAGGTCGATGACTCTGCTGGTCTCAGATCGGCGCTTATTCGATCAGAGCAGAAGGCGCGTTTGCCATCAGATTTTACCGCTGTACTGAACTGAATGTTAAAATCCATAAGATGGCGCCGTTGCCTCTGATTTGAAAGGAACAAGCAACGCGGTCTCACATGTGATAGATAAACAAGAAATGTATACGTTATTTTGGTATTTGTATTTGTGATAAATAAAATGCTAACTACGATATTAGTTACACAGTTACAAAGTAGTGTAATGAGTAATGCAACTATATGCTATCAGAAAGTTGGCTCAAAAGATAACAGTTGACATAATTTTAATGGCAAGGGTTGTCTGGCTAACAACAATATATATATA